CATAGTTTACGCTCTATCAATGTACTCAATATAGTAATTAATAATGCCTGATTCTTAGAATATCTACTCGCTTTATCTTCAGAAAATGATTTCTTTACAAGGCAAAGAATGTCACAGAAATGCACATTTGCTAAACAGCTATTTCCTACTTTCAACCAACTTTAAAATACAACACGACTGGAGCACATGTATGATGAACCGGTTTATCATGAGATGGTCGGTTTTGACGATGCTTTAGACAGCGACGGACGTAGGCAGTGTTCGTACTGTAACAGTTTGAGAAACGCAACGTCCATAGATATTTCTTGCCCTAAGCTTGTATCGACTAAAGGCATTAAAAACGGCGCTTGCAGAGCAGAAAGCCTAATATCAAACACGTGGAGAAAAGTCGTAGGACGTTGGCAATGAAAATCGTTCAAGTTATAGCAGCAGCACATCGACAGCCCTGTAATTCAGTGCCTTTAAAATAAGCGTTGCACAGCCTCATGACTTCCACTCCTCACCCTAGCAGTAGCAATCCACATCAGCAACAGTGGAAAGTAAGCAAGTTGCAGCTGGAAGTAAGACGAAGAATGGTTAGTGCTGAAAGAGTGAACAAAACAGCAACCGCAGCTATTATACTACGTAATTTCTAATCTGCAGCGTGTTTGGTACAGTACGCATTTAAGGATTAATTCTAATGCATATTTTTCAAGCATCATATAGAAGGGCATGTACCCATTTATTTAGGCAATAAATCAATATATCAGAATTGCATTTTCAGAAGTATCGTGAGACGCTAACGCAAAGCCACTCATATTCAGTCAGCGTTCTCGTTTTCTGGAAACTATCCCCTGTGGTCAGCAGGGTTTGACGATATTTCAATTTTTGGAAATGGAGACTCGCAGAAATCCTAATCCGGGACACGACCCGAGTTGTGATGGTTTCTCTGACCACCGCATAGCGCTGCTGACACCATAGAATCTAAGAATTCAATAGACGAAGCATTTTGGAGTCTTTCCTTAAGCGTGAGATTACACCTGATATCGCTGCTGCTCGAAAGAACTAACAGAACCATAACCCTCCCTAGCAAAATTTGATCGAATAAGCCAGTGAAAGGTCAGAACAAGTCGATGATGTTTTCAAAACTTATCATGTCAAAGCAATGACACCGAATCACGTGGTTCAGGTGACAGTTGAAGAAGAAGACGATCAGAATCATGAGCATCACAGAAAGCACAAGAACCGCCATGAAGATTGTGAACTTCTCCCATTCGTTCCAGGACTGACTTCACTGATGTACTGAGAGGACTTCATAGTTGAACGTGCAACATAACAAGTCCAAAAATCGGCATGAAAATATTTAAGCTGAGAAACTTCCATATCGCTTTAGTAAGTAAGCAAAGGGACCTATGATCTGTAGTCGCTTCAAAGGGACCGACAGTGCAGCAGTGTGACGAGTTGAACGAAAAAAGATCATTATTTGACTTTTTAACTCGAATTTTACTTCCTCGATACACTGTAGAGGTTGAAATTCTCTTTCAGGAACAACTGCCTGAAATATCATTAATTTACATACTGAACTACTTTGGATAAGACTAGAAAACTCCAGAACACGTGGTCAATATTATTAACAAACGTGCTTCAAAACGACATCAGTTGCCCACTATCAGCAACATCACTATTTTCATCAATATACACATATAGATATACATTACTTGAAGAATGGTCATGTGGCGTTGACGAGGAAAGCTGTTGACACTAATTAGTACAGTCATCTAGAGGCAATAACTCATTCACAGAGGGTTTCACGCCGTAAGCGCTACTCACTGCTCGCAAAAACTTTGGGAATCATTTAGGCGGCTCAAAGCTGCATTGTATTTGAGCGTTTTCAGTAGATGGGTGCATTATTTTGTAATAACCGTTAAAGATCAGATGTACTTATTCTGCTTCGCTGAACGATTAAAGAAGAGCGAATCTGTGGAACTGTAATAAGCGCATACTGATTGGCCGTCAGCCACGACCAACGAAAGTACAAAAGTACCAGAGCACCGTTTCTGTGATAATTACAGAGAGCTATACCTTTTAGTATAGGTTAACCTGAATAAGATTATGCCTACTTTCACCTGGTACGTCCTGATTTCCTCTTTGCAACAAGTCTTCAAGACACTGATCAACAGGTCCCTCCTCTGGTCAGGATCCCACGGCAGTCTACATTACCTTTTTATCGCTAGAGCAACACCTTGCCCAGAAAACGATATTTCAGTAGCTGTTTACATCAGAAAATTAATTTGAATGCCGGAAGCTTCATAATAGACGAGCTAGCAGCATCATGGCACGTCCGTTTTTATAGAACCATGAGGGACGATTTATCCTTCACAGAATTTTAGCACCTGAATCACGTCGGTGCATCTCGCGTTACTCTTGTGCTAATTCAATACCTCGCTCGTTACAGCAGAACATCCAGCTTACTGTTCATTAGTCGCTTTTACAACTACCTCAAAAATATGAGTTTGCAGATTTCAGGAACTGATTAAGTCTGTTTACTCGATGGTACAGTGGGTGCATTACTGCAGTTGCTTAAACACCTGGACCTTTGACCTGCTTAATTGACCTCTTAGGCTTCTAGGAACAAGGCGCGGTATTATCTTTGATGACTGGAAAAAATACAGTTCAGCAAGCTTCATAGAATTTAGATTCTTACTACACATGGTTCAGTTCTCTCAGCCTCTCTTTTAATATTTTCACAAATGGTTTTACTAACCATTCATCATATCGTCTTATGAAATTTTCAGATGACACTGTGTTCCACGAGTCTCGGAAAAATTTCTATAACCGAAAACGATATCTGACCGGTTTCACAATCATAAGTACATGTTTTGTATAAATTATTTAAACCAAATAATTCAAATGTCTCTGCAGTGTGAATATGACAAGAAAATAGGAAGAAGCTGTCTTTTTTATACTTAATTTTTGCTTGCGAAAGATATGCCATTGTTAACCACTTAAAATATCTCGGCTTCAGTTCATCTTTTCGACCTCGCTTGACATAGTCAAGTATGACAAACACGTAAGGTCACATTTGCATCAACATCATATTCATAATTCACATGTTCCTCAACGTATAAGAACCACTTAACCTGTTGTCTAGATACATCGATAATTTCAACTAACACCCACGGTTTTAAAACATCCAAGCTTCAGCAGTATAGCTAGGTTTCAGCCTCTTCGAAATGGGACGTATTGTTTGACCTGCCTGAAACTTCAACAAAGCAGATCGAACTGCCTCCATACTGCGTGAATTCCAAAACTGTGTCAATCTCTAGATGTAGACCGTGCCTGCGTGTCACCTGCTCAGATGTCGTGCTTCTGTCATGCAGTTTGTTTGCACAAAAACCGACTCAGCTCGTCGAATGGATGATGCACGTGTTTGTAAATACACCCATACCTACACCGTGCCGTTCTGCCACGATTGACCATTGTGGGATTGGGATATAGTTATTTTCAACTTCAGGCAAAATCCATAGCTATATGATGGTATTGAAAGGTCTAGATTATTGATATAGTACATAGCCGTTATCTATTTTGCTGAAATCCGACACAGCTGATATAAACAGGTTTACGTTAACTCCGTATAATTATATCGAAACTGCCATCCGTCATTTTATCTTTAGAGCAGTGACTTTAGGACAAGTGATTTGACATTTTTTAACGCTAAACAAAGTGGTGCCGCTGTAAATATTAAAATTTTGGGTTTTAAATGACTTAAAAATTCTCAATTTAATTACTCAGTAACTCTGAACAAATTGTAAAAATTCGATGTTCCATTTTTTCCTGCAATCCCTTTATTTACATGTAACATTTGCAAATGAGAAGAAAGGTGATCACGGTATCGTTTGCTAGCTTAAAAATTTCAATGATGCTGCTGCACTGAGAAAATATACGATTTATTACGCCTACTGTGAAGCGAGTGGCTTTTTCACTACTTCCATGTGGGTAGATAAATTGTACGGTAAAATCTAAGCACAATGCAATTGGATGCCTTCTAATTTCATGCCATTTCTATGAAAAGCCGCTCTGACCGCCGTTGATATACAAGCAGATAGCTCCAGATACTTTTGCAGTTTTTACTGCTGTGGTCTGGCGTAGGGTTAATTTTGGATTTTATCATTGTATACGCGCATGCTCTGTTTTTGCTTTGTTCTTTGAGCAGCGTTTCTGATTCACAGAAGTCGATGCAGAAGTTTTTATCTTGATCACCCAAAGCATTGCGAAAGTAAGCGTTTGTTGTCACATCACTGTATCATGCTTAGTGCACCCACGCACGCCATCCACGCGACGTGTTCACTTCAGAGATAGCTGGTATGACGAACAGATTTGGGTAAATATAGTACAGTACCTCAAAATATCGGATACCGTTTCCTAAACATACGCTTCCGATGAGGTCAAATCATATATGTTGATCCGTTGATCTCTAGAAAAGACATTGCTTGTCCTCGGATGAATATCGCAGCAAAATCGAACATAGGGGGCATCACTTTTGCTTAATCCAAGTAACTAACCATCACGCAAAATGGAGTCGTTCATTAAATTGCAGATGTATTTCCACCGGCATGAAACTGAAAGATGAATGATATTTGGTCTCCGAGGCTCAGACCTTGTGCCATCACAGCTTTGAGTACCAATTCCCGCAAGATTGAGGTAAAATATGCAACTCACGAGGCATAATATTCGTGCGTCTTCGCTTTTTAGAATACAGCTTCCAACGTGTTCAAAGGACACAGTTTTACTGAAACACGAGAAAGATACAAAAGAGCAGCAAAACGAGTGTACTGATACGAATAGAAGCATTATGCGTTCTGTGCTTCTACAAGTAGCCGATGCTTTACTACACCACATTCGAAATACGCAGACACGAAAGAGACAAACAATACAACGACAACTCTCGCTTCGGAAAGAACAGCATTAGATTTTTACACATTCGTCAATCTTAATCCAGACCGAAATCCAGAACGAACGGATTACGGGCCATACGGATTAACGTAGTACATGCACAGGGCGTTGACGATCATGTTCGCGAAACAGAACGCCTGAAAGGTCAAGAAAGTCAGACGGCATGAATGCGGTTTATAACGGTCAAATTACCGATGCAGCAGCTCGACGTCTGTACCACTCGTTCTGGTCGCCGTATCGTCGTCGCAGAATCGTAGTCACCCACACCTCAACACCAGCTGCGGCCAGCCACATCAGCAACAGCAAGAAGTAGGTGAACTGGGCCTTAAGTTCGGTAATACTTTAGACCACTGTTACGGATACGCAAGTTGAGTAAATTAGACGGTTCTGTTTTATGACACAGTGGTAAATATATTATGAAAGATTTATGAAATCCTCTGCTAAAAAAACGAAAAGTAATTATGAAGAAGTATATTCTTATGGTTACAAAATCCTTAAACGGAAATTGACACTCATTGACCGAACGATGAAAAAATTCAGATAACACGTTCATAAACGGTTATAACCTATTCTTCAGGTATAGCTACCACAGAGTAGCCGAAAAACAGCGTAAAACACAATTTAATATAATATACAACGCAAAAGATGGCGAAGATGACGTGGTCAGTCCGGTTACTGCCAATACCTACATTTTGACCCGGGTCTCACAGGCCTTCTCCAAGGTAGGTAAGTGGTGAAGTTTCGTGAATGTACTTAGTCGTCCGCATCCGCAGCAGTCAACTGTTTCGGAGCCAGAAGGCATCGGCATTGGTCAGTAACTGGACTGACCGCAGTATCTTTTGCTCTGTGTATTAGTAGACACTATTTTTTCAGTATGACCACCAACACACAAACAAATTACTCTATCCCATAGCATTACACCATTGCTATATGTTTCCCTGTGAGTGAAGGCGATAAGTGAAAGTTTACTTCATCAATTACATGGCTATAAAATCCGCTTCTTAATACAGATAAAATGGTACAACATGAAAAATTTCAATCCGGAATCATTATGTTACTGTGATAAAAAATTTTCCTATAAGGTTTTTGTGCCGCAAGCGAAAACTCAAATTATAAGAAAATTTTTGCATCGCGTTTAAAACCATTGTCCTCTTCATAAAGATGAGTGGCTAAATATCGTTTGCTATTCAAGATAAACTTCCTTTGATAAATGTGCACAACTTGAATAAAAAAATAAATATTTGAAAATAAAACAAGCAAATAAAACAATGAACACAACTGCAGTTGAGGGTCTTTTGGAAGACACCATCGGGCGCGACCTATAAAGAACCAAATTTTTTCTGGGCTTAAATTCTTGTAAAGATTCCAGTACTCGATCTCGTAAATGAACTTAACACATTAGAAGGTTACGTCTTTTCCATTTTCCTATCTTAATATGAAAATACTTCCTAAAAATCTCTCATCGCCCTCATTTCTATATCTCTGGGTAACAACAGCATGACACATGGTCTACCAGAAATGAAAAATCCTCTGTTTTACAAGTATTGCACTTTATTCCCAATTGTCCAATTCATTGCGATATAGATCTTTCGTTGAACATAGATATTATTTTGTTCAGTTCAGATAAGGAAATGAAAACGGATTAAAGAATTCAGCCATAAATTCAGTTTGGTATAATTTACTATTAAATTAATAGTTTTCAAACATATAACTTGAACATTTATGAAGTTCTTATATCGTTTAATTAATTTACAGCGAGTACTCGAAATATTTTGCTTAAAATCTGGAACCAAAAAACGAACAAGTTGGTCACTCGAGAGATTGGCCAATACCGACGTTTCTGCTCGCCTCTTATGAGCTTTCTTCTAGGTGGTCCGGAATGATTTACGCAGTTGATCGTGTGGTCTGCAGCTGTATACTCTTTGGACCACTAATCAACCAGCAGCATGGCCAAATGCACACCGTCGGCACCTGACGACACAACGGCTGTAAACCACACACCAACTGCAGAAACCAGCCAGGACCATTTTGAAGAAAGCTCATGAGAGATGATCTGGTCAATCACCGATTGACGAACTTATTAGTTTGCGTTGTGTATAAATATAAATAAACCATTTATCTTTAGGTAAGTCACAAAAGGAAGACAACGCATAAAATAGTCTTTAATTACGGACATGTGACGTTTCGTACCAAACTCTGACCGTCTTCAGAGTACAATGACAAATGGCACATAACGTTTTCATTCGGGTTGACCCGCATGATTAATGGTGCCGTGTTTGCTTGCTAGTCTTAATCGGCCGCCTGATGTTTGCGGTCCATGTGTCGCTGGCTCTGTGCCAACGTCACGGTTGATGCAGTTGGTTGCTCGGATCAATAACGCTTCCCTGACTTTGCGGGACAAACATACTGTTGTTACCGCGCGACACCTTTCATTCTGTCACGCACGATATGTTGTGTTAGTGGGTAACAGCATGTTCTACAATGGCAGAATTGTTCTCGCATTCTGCCTTTATATCTGAAGACGGACCGAGTTTGGTCCGAACTGTCAGATGTCCCTAATTAAAGACTATTTTATGCGTTGTCTTCCCGTTTGTGACTTACCTAAAGATTTTATCACCTCCGGCATAAACAAATCATGTATGATCTTAAACCATTTATAATATAAATAAACCATTTTAGGCATTTTTCTGTTTTCGGTATGAATACCAACGCATAAACAAACTATTGCAAAATCTGCAATTCCAGTTACTGAAATTCCATCTAGCAACGAAGCGAAACATAATTTCGGAAGGCATAGGCGGCATGAGGTGCCTTCGTCGTTGCAGTTTGTCACTTCTTCTG